ACATACATCTAACCGAAGTAAAAATACCAAGTTAATATACTTTTGACATATCGACTAAGTTAACATACCTCTTGCCCGATCATGTCACGTAACTACTAACCATAAACCGACTAATTTAAGATACCTTTGGCCTAGTCATGTCATAGAACCCATGACCATATATCGGCTAAGTTAACATACCTCTAGCCCAGTCATGTCACATAACTCATGACCATAAATCGGATAAGTTAGCATACCTTTAGCCAGGTCATGTCACAAAACCCATGATCATATGTCGACTAAGTTAATATACCTCTTGCAAAGTCATGTCACATAAGCCCTGACAATTTAAAAAAGCTAAGTTAACATACCTCTGGTCAGGTCAAGTTAACATACCTTAGACCATTTTAAAAGCCACGATGGCCTACAATCAGGTTAATAATCGCTTTAAGATTATTCTCGGCCATGAGTCAGGATCTATTAACCAAACGGGGACTGACCAGGTCTTACATCATATGCTAATACCTTTTCATGATCCTCGACATAGATCTTGGTCCACTGAAGAATACACATTGCTAAAATATGAGCCTCATGTAAACTAAGATACGCTTGGGGCTAGATGTATGATTATTCCCAACCAAGACATCGGGATATGGATTAATAGAATAAAACACATTAAGGAAAAGAATAAAATGATCGAAAGGCCTATGTAAGGCTTAGATATTACACACAAAGAAAAAGTAAATTATTCAAAATATTACAAAATGCATCCCCGAGGATGACTAACAAGGAAAGCATGAAAACAACATGAAATCAATCTTCATTCTTCCCTTCTTCGTGACCATCAGGACTCCCTTCATCCACTGCATTGTCCTTGGAATCCTCGGTATCAGGGGAAGATTCTTCTTCCTCCATGTCTACAAGACGAACTTCCACCACCGTTTTGGAGTAGTCCCACAAACACATTTAGTCTGGGTTGGAGGCATAAAGCTTGAGATTTATCCCTTTCAAAGGCTTGATCACCAACTGAAAGGATGTTCCCATGAGCCTCCTATAGAGACTTCTTCAGCTTTTCATTTGACTCTCGAGATGCCTCCATGTCTTTGATCAAGCGTGCAATGGTTGCTTCTTGATCTCGGCAGTTGGCATTCAAGGTCTCTTTCTACTTCTTCACCTCCAACAATTTTTTGTCTAGTTCCTCTATTTTTTCTGTGTGGACCTTCAGGTTTTCCTTCAGCTAATGTATTTCCTTGTTAAGGTAGATTCCGTTCTGCTCATAAGCATCCCCAACTTTAAATAGACCTCAAGTCATGATGGGAAACCGTATTAGATAAGACCTGATGTTCTACGTCGGATTTTGATCTCCTATGGACTTCGCCTTTTCAACATCCTCGGTGTGATTCAAGTGGTATAGAGACACTTCAGATTGTAAAAAATGTTGGACCAGAACTTGAACAATTAAGAGGAGTGAGTCTAATGACTGCCATCGGCTTCCTGCATCAATATAGTGACTTCCCAGTCGGAGGAACATACCATGTCACTTATTAAAGTCTTCATCTCTTAGGGGATCTCAATTTCAAGCCACCAGAAGGAGGGATGATAGAGCCTTGGGGCTTAAATATGCTAGAAAATACCATACCAGTATCCACTTTCCTTTTCTTGATAGTGCGGGTTTAGATTCCAGTCAAGTCAGTCTTAACAACAGATTTCTCCACTCGTCTTGCCCATGCCTCAGCCATCAGCTTCCTCTACTTCTTCAATTTTAGGTTCGTCATTTTGACTAAAAAGAGAACAAGGAAATGACTCAGCAGGCCTATATAGATAAATAAATAAAATATGTTAAGACATCTAAGTGTTATCCATAAAGTTAGAGAATTGTTTCAGATCTTCAGCCATACTCATTAAATCTTTGACCTTTATCAGTCAAAAAGCTTCTAACATTTATATCCTTTTTGGTTGGGGAGTATCTAACAAAAACACATTTTATAGCATGTGTTTCAAGTTTTCCAACATTTTTATCCTCGTGAACAAAAGTCGTACAACCAAAGGTTTTTAATGTCAGATCAGTAAAAACACGAGTACTAGGAAAACATTCTTTGAAATTATTAATTGGAGTTTGAAAATTGAGAATTTTGGAGGTCATTATGTTAATTAAATATGCAGTTGTTAAAACAGCTTCGCCCTACAAATGGTTTGGTACTTTATTTGAGAAAAGTAGAGCTCTGGCAACCTCCAATAAATGTCTATTTTTCCTTTCGACAACTCCATTTTGTGAGGGGTATTCAGACATGAACTTTGATGTACAATCCCATTTTTTAGAAAAAAATCATCCTGATAGTGTTAAAATATTCTCTGCCATTGTCACTTCTAAAGATTTGGATATTTGTTTGAAATTAATTATGCATCATTGTCATAAAATTCTTTATATTCTGACAAACATTTGATTTCTCCTTTAACAAGTACACCCAACATACTCTTGTATGGTCATCTATAAATGTGATAAATCATTTTTGAGAGAGTGTGTACTTGTACGGTTAGGGTCCTAAACATCACTGTGAATAATAGAAAAAGGTTTTGATGGGTTATAAGGTTGTATTGAAAATTGGGAACGATGATGCTTTGCAAACTCACATGCTTCACATTTAAACGGAAAAAAGTTCTTAATTTGAAATAACTTAGGAACCAAGTGTTTTAAGTAACAAAAAACTAGGATGGTCTACTCTTAAATGTCATACCATAATGTTTTCATCTTTATTGTTCAAAATAGAAAAAGACTCAAAGCTAAAACTTATTATTTTTTAAGGTACTGCCAATCATTTTCTCTGAGTTTAAATCTTGAAAGACATAGTGAGATCGGAAAAAAATAGTTTGACAATTTATATCCTTGTCTAATTTACTAACGAACATTAAATTACATGATAAATTTAGAACTCAGAGGATATTTTTAAGAGTTAACATTGGAGACAATACAACAGACCCTTTACTTGCAATGGCTGAAAAAATAGCCACCTGCGACTTTTATTTTTTAATTACCTGCACATGGACTATATGAAGAGAACAAAAGAGATTCACCTGTCATGTGATCAGATGAACATTAATTTATTATCCAAGTATAACTAGGACTGACACTAAGAATTGTAAAATTATCTCTGGTTACTAAAACGCAAGAAAGAGTTGGAGACTCGAGAAGTTTGTATAGTCTGTCTAGTTGTTCCGTAATGAGTGGAAGTTGAGGAAAAGATATTTTTTACCCTTGATCCAAATTACTAACCTGAAATGCACAACCATCTTTCTTCTTTCAGTTAGGAGGTTTCCCTTTGAGCTTCCAACAAGTTTCACGCGTATGTCATTCACGCTTGCAGTGATCACACCAGGGAACTTTGTCTAAGGTCTTTATTGAGCCCAGCGAGAAATATGAAGACACAATCATTTTCTTACCTCTTGAGAAACAGAACACTATCTTCAATATACCTTCAATTATCATCATAACAAAGATCAGACTCTTTCCACAAGGTCAAAAACTCATTGTAATAAGCAGTTACACTCTTGTCACCTTGCGTTGCATGCCATAACTTTGATTTTAAACCAAAAATTTGTGAGAAATTTTGAATATCAGAGTATATTTCCTTAACAACTTCCCGTAAATCCTTTGTAGAAGGAAAAAATATGTAAGACTTATTTATTCCAGTTTCCATAGAACTTACCAACCACACAGTAATCAAGGAGTTTTCAGATTTTTATTGTTTGTAAAAAAGGTCTCCTCCTGGCGGTTCAACTACTTCTCTTGTTAAAAAATCAAGCTTCCCTTTGGTATTCAATATCAAACGAACGGTTTAGACTCATTCATATAGTTATTCTCATTCATCTTAGAAATACCGACCTTGAGGGAGTATGAGGAATCCTCTCGATCATTGTTGCCATTACCGCCATTGTTTGTGACCACCGACGATTCCTCTACTATGTCATTTCCGCGACCACCGCATTTTCCTCTACCACCGCCATCTCTGTGGCCACCGTCGTAATCTCTACCGCAACCATTTCTGCGGTCGCCGCCCAACTCGGGTGGTGGTTGTTCGCCATTGTTGGATAAGGTGTAGGTCCGTGATGGGGAAGGTCACCTGTTAGTGTTGTGATTCGCCATAAGAGGCTAAATGGATATGTGAATCGGGTAGAGTAAGAAAGCAGGTCAAACAGAAAGCTTTACAGAAAATCCCTAACCTAGTGCTCTTAATACCAGATTGAAAATAATGGTAAAAAACTATTGTATTTTATTCCTCAACCTCAGGCTGATTTATATAGTGAGAATTCCATAAATTATAATTAATAATCTCCTTAATAGAGAATAAAGGAATTAAAGAATAAACAAAAATAAGAAAATAAAATATTTTTCAACAGCTTTCAATGGATTCATCTTCCCTGTTGTACTTGATCTTGTAAACCCACTTGTTTCCTAATGGTTTCACCCCCATGTGGTAGATTAATGAGAATTCTAAGTACCATTACTATGTAAGGCTTCTAATTCATCTATCATAGCGTGTAACCAATAGTATGAATCTTTTGCCTGTTTGTAAGATTGTGGCTCAGCAATCTGTATGATGGACATACTAAATGCCTTGTATGAAGAAGTTAAGTTTGTGAATGAATGAAAAAAAGATAGAGGATAAGGAGTACATGAGATGATTGATTCAAATGAATAGGATGATGAACCATCACATGCATACATAGTCAATCAAATAAGGTATAATTGTCCTTTGTAGGATAGAGTCATGCTTTCATGCTTGCTCACATAACAAACTAATTACACAGAAAATTCAAATTACACAACTGATAAGAGGAAAGTTCTGCACAGCTGCATCTATCTCTTGATTCATTGAGCTTCAATGTTCTGGTGTACCACAGCTTATAGTTATAAGACTATTCCTTTATTCTAAGCCATAACATCTGCTAAGGAATCAATGCCTATGATTGAATAATGTGGCTTCAATAGAAAGTAAAAAGAGCTTTATGAAATCTCAATTTATTTATTGGTAGCTCTTCATGTCACTTTCCTTCCAAGATTTCTTGAGGAAACTCTTGAACCAATTCGCCGAGAGTTTCGAGTGTCTTTTCAAATCGTCTTTAAAATCCACAAAAACAAGTCCAAATCGCAAACTCAAGCCCGATTCCCATTCCATGTTATCTAACAAAGACCATGCAAAATATCCTTTTACATTCACACCATCCCTGTAAAAAAACATGCATAAGAACGAAAATATTGTGAATCAATATGTACTATAAAACCTATGAATGATAAAGTTTTACTTACCTGATTGCCGTTTGAAGATAATAAAGATGACGATAATAGTAATCAATTCTGTAAGTATCTATAAGAGATTCTTCAAGTGATAATGTTGGATCGTTGAACTCATCACGACCTATCGTATGATTTTCTCAAACTTGTTAGCTTTATTAATATTATTACAGTATTATGCATATAATATCAGAAAATAATAAGTATTACCATTTTCAGTAATGTAAATAACAGGATTGTTGTACTTATTTTTGATGTAAAGCAACAGTTTTCGAAGTCCTTTCGGATAAATGCATAACCAGTTGGAAGCAGCCTACATATGATTATAAATAAAGCAATCTTTTATGTTTTATACATTTTTTGGAACAGAAAAGCTACAAATGAAATTATGAAAATACATACCATTGAACCAAGGGGCTTGCCATCATGTTCAACTGTCATAAAAAATAATAAACCATGCTTAGATATAAAGTTCAGAGTATATGTATATAGTTAGTTACTTTTGATTCAATTTAGTTTGGAAATTTTAATTACATGTAATATTAACAAGAGAATCAGTTTGTATGTCGGGTCTGGCTTTGCGTAAACGAGGTGTATCGGCAGCGTAAGAGGATGAGTAATAGTTTAGGCCGAGAAAATCAAAGGATCCCTTAAGGTTCTCTGATTCTTCTTCGGAGAACTTTGGTAGCCGATTTCCCACCAAAGTTTGCATGCTTTTTGGATAGTTTCCTTTTGTAATTGGATCCATATACCTATAACAATAACAAAATGCACGAGTGAGAGATTGTTGGATTCAAGTGTGAGCGATAAGATAAGTTGTACGTTAATCTTTACCATCCAAACATGAAGTCAAGGGCACGTTGTGCAGCGTCGCAGTCCGATTTCTCTTTAGTCACTGGCTCAAACCAGTGAGAGAGTAAAGTAATCCCTATTAAACCATTTTGAGATTCCTACATTTTGGTCATTTAGTTAGCAAAAACTCCAAGAAGCATGATCTACCACTAAAAATAAATTTTCTTTAAAAAACATATAGGACCTGATATTTGGTCTTGTAGAGTTTTACAGCAGCAGCATGAGCAAGAAGCTGGTAATGTGCAACCAAATACGGTTCGGTACCCGAATCACCTCCTAAGCAATTCAGGTTTAACCAATCTGAACATCGACCCGGTGCAAATATTCCAATAGCATAAGCTTTCATGCTCACACTCCATGGCTCATTCAAAGTAATCCAATATTTCACTCTATCACCGAATTCCTCGAAGCAAAGTTGAGCATAGTCCCTAAAATCATCTCTGCAAAATCATTAATCAGTTAATCAGATTTTCCACAACCATTTCATAAATTGCTCTAGATGGAAAAATTTTGCCACTCACACAATGCGAGGGCTTAAGAAGCTTCCATACTCATCCTCTAAGGCTTGAGGAACGTCCCAATGAAAAATGGTCACGTATGGTTGCAAACCTGCATTAACAACCACACGGATATAATTCTAATACAATGTGAAAACTGAAAACATTGATGAATCTTTACCGTTGGCCAATAGTTCATTGATGAGATTGTTGTAATAGTTTATTCCCTCATGGTTTACGCCTCCACTAACCTTTCCTTCTGCAAAATAGTTAATAAAAACTCTTCATAATGGTTACCGCTAAAATCACCTTCCAGGGAGTTAAATTAGCGAAACTATGACTTACTTGGTAGCACTCTAGACCAAGAAATGGAAAATCTATAAGCATCCATATTCATATCCTTCATGATTCCAATATCTTCCTAAAATATATAGAGCCAAGGTTTTAAGTAACAGTCGCGGTCACAAAAACAGTGAATAACAGTATCAGTGTCACCACCTCTACGACGGTTTTTCGTTGTTTATATATGTTACATAAAATATAATTTTGATGATACCTTGTATCGATGATAGGAGTCTATAGCTACATCTCCATTACTTCCATCTCTTATTTTTTCTGCAACTCATTTTATTAACAAGTATGAGAAATCTATACATGTTATATGTAAAACCAGAATTTAAAGATAATAAAAGTGTATGGTAAATTGTAAATGGTTGAGCTTAAAACCGTTACAATGGTGGAAATGCAGAAAAAGAAATGTAATATGAACTCCTACTTCAGAGTTAGACTCCTTTCCACTCTAGTCTCGTTTCTACTATCACTCTTTTTTTTTTAATCATTAAATCCGTATAAATATACATATACCTTGTTTTAAAAGAGGATAAAGAAATTTTAATTAATTATAATATTTATGAATACATGTAAATATTTATATATATTTTAAAATTCACAGATATCCGTCTAATGGATAATATCTTCACGGATATGAGATGGATACGTGTATTATATTTATTCAATCGAGTGGATAACAAGAGACTAGTATCTATTGTTGGGGTTGGTTGAATATATATTGAAGAAGTCTCACATTGTTTTGTTTTGTAAATAAAGAAGGAACCCAAGACTATATATGGATTTAAGTTCTTTGAAGTCTCACATCTTTTAGTTTTGTGAAGGAATAAGGAGTCCAAAACTATATATAGGATTCAAGTTCTTCGTTACAAAATGCACCAGTCAAAAACACTTTAAACGTGTATTTGACTTTCTTTGTTCTCTTATACTCTAGAATTAGAGTGTTGTGAGATGTAGTTAAATATTTGTTTGTTAGTTGAGGGTATATTATGTTTTGTAATAATTTTTAAAGTGTTATTCTCTGGTTGTCTATGACAATGGTTATGGTTTTTCTCTGATTTTTAAGTTTCCACATTATGCTCTTGTGTTGTTATAGTGTTCATCTTTTTTTCTCTATGCCTTATTTGTTATTTTCCCAACAACCGGTATCAGAGTTTTTTGGTTTGATTCAAGGATATAAGTCCTTAGTATCATCTAGTATATCTTGCACTCCCCTTTCTTAGAACCCCACCAGAATTTCGAAAGCATAGCTTCTATCTTGTTACAACAGTTTTTCAAAATACGATAATAACTCATGATATATGTTGGAATAGCTTGCGCCACCGCTTTGATCAAGACTTCATTTCCAACCCTAAAGAAAAAATTCTCCTTCCAACCTTTCACCTTCTTCCACACTCTCTCAACTACGAGACTAAAAACATCATTTTCCATTCCTTACTATCTCTTTTATAACAACAAATCCCTTGAAATAAAAGAACATTCTCGCTGACTTATTTTTCCTATCCACTCAAATCATAACGGCTTTAATTTATGACTGATGGTCTGAACCATTTTAAAAGCATGGTTTGATTTATTACCTTACTTTAAAATATAATAGTACATTGTAAGGCTTTTAAAATATGTGTCAAATGCACACAATCGACAATTGTTTTAGAAATAAATGTGGTTTCTAAAATGGATTAAACAACCCTTATTACAATGCATGCAACTTCTATTTATAGAAATAATCATAAGGGCAAGTCACGTTTATTTTAGACACATAAATAATCCATGCTTATTGGTTATTTCTACTATGTGATATTGTTTGTTTCCTCAAACGTTGTTTTTAGTTTCGACACGGTCCCTCTTTGTGTGCTCTATTTTTTTCATGTGTTATGTATCTACATGGTCCCTCTTTTCGTGTTCTAAATGTATTGTGTAACATGATTCATGTTCTTCCTTTTTCTTTCTAAGTTTACAACTTTCTCGTGCTTCACTTGTACACTTAATCATTTTTTGTATTTTTATTTAATAAAAATAAAAGTTAGTTGGTCTCTTCAAGAATTTCTAAATGCTAGTATACCATATTTTCACAATATTAATATGTTTTATTAAGTCTCTAAACATCAATATGTGATACGTTGAAGATGTCAAACATTAGTACTAAATATTATAATTGTTAGGACTATTCAAAAAAATTATAATTGAACTAAATTGTTGTTAAATAATCAAATATTTTTCTTTAATTTTTCATTGGTTATGTTGTTATCGTGTTACATATTTGTGTATAATTTTACACCTCTTTTTTCATATAAACCATATAAAAAGAGATTTGAAACCTTTTTTAATTTTGTATGATTTTTTATTTTAAGACTATCATTTTTTAGCATTAAAATTTGATTTGAGCAGTATGACATTCAATAATATTTAATTTTATATGAAATTTAATTTTTTAAATTAGTTTATAATTTTAATTTAAATCAGTTTAAATTTAAATATATTTAAATTACATACTAGTGATACAAAAATGTTAAAAAAATTTAAATATCTATTATTTAAGAAATTCAAAAAATATGACAGTTCTCTTAATAAAGGATTATTAATAAATTGTATATCAAATCAATTGTTTGGTTTCAATTTGATTCTGAAAAATCGAGAAAAAAAATCTACTAATTTTTTATTATAGTTTGGTTCGATATAATCCTGGTTCTTGTATGAAATAAATGTGTTGTTCATGAATTAAATGTGTCTAATAGTCTCAATAAACAGAGGTGGAGATGTCATGTGAGTGGTAAGTCTCTAATTTAATATACATTAATTTATTTGTATAATTTAATTTAAAGATTAATTCTGATATATTAAGTAATTTTAATTTTTTTTATTATTATTGAGAAATCGAACCGTAAACTTCTCTACTATATCCAATGGCAATCACTACTAAATGAATTAATACTTTATTAGACTAAATATTCTTTTTATAAGAGGGAGGGCCTAACCCCTACACTAAGTGTCTTTTGTTTTTATAATTTATTACATTAATTTTAATGTGTATTAAATACTATAATTTTAAGACGGGTTTATATAATTTATTACACCGATTTAATACATCACAATTATGATGATAATCCAGATTTTTATTTTTATTTTCTTTTTTTGAATTTTTGAAATATAATGATAACAAAAAATATGTTTGAATGCACATTTGAGAAAATATATAGTTTAAATAGGCTGCCTCTTAGTGATCTGTACTCTTATAGATGAAAATCAGGTAAAGCCATTTGTAGTATTATGTAGATCCTTGAATTGACTTATGGTTTGTAAAAACATTAGCCATGGACACATTAGAGGAATTTTTATTTATTTATTTTTTATATATTTTTCTTAATTTTAGTGATTTAGTGAATTAAATAAAAAAACAACCTGGGTTTGTATGGGTGAATGTGTCCCATATACTAGGTCCTTTTCCATCTTCCTTTGCTGCACCTTCACACTATAAAATATTCAAAATAGCATCAAATCAGAACAAAAATAAATAAATTCTTAATAATAATAACAATAATAATAATAATAATAATAATAATAATAATAATAATAATAATAATAATAATAATAATAATAATAATAATAAAGGTAATTGAAAGCAATAATAAAAAAAAGTGAAAGATGATAGTTGGTGCCTGGAATGCAGAAGAGGATGTTCCAAAAACAAAATCTTGTGGGAAACTGCTTCGATTGAAATCAGAGAAATCATGAAGATGAAGAGTTTTAACATCATCTATATGAGTAATGTTATGAATGGATAAAAGAGAGAGTAATAGAAACACGTTGAACTCAAATGCTGCTGCCATTTTAGTTTTGGTTATTCACATGCTATGGGTTCGCTTTTATAGGAGAATGGAAATTATTTCTCAGCATTATGAATATTTATTTTACACTTTTTTTCCTAAGAGTTTGAAAAAGTGTGGATTTATCATTGGAAAAAGGGAATAGTTTTGCCAGCTGGTGAACCATTGTTTGATGAAGCAACGTAGTTTTGCATCATTTCATCTTAAATTGTTATTTTTTTTAATTTAAATGTTGTTTTGATTTATCTTAAATTTCAATGGTTCTTTTTTTTTTATATATATAATTTTTTCTTTAAAATGTCATTTACAAATATTATAATTTCATTTTTATCTTTAATTTTATATTTAATTTAATTTTTATTATTTTAATTTTATAATTTTATTACAATTAAGTATAAATAAAATATTAATATATAAGGTAAAATTTTAGAACTCAATATAAATTGTTTAGAGCTGTATTATTGGAGTAAAAATTAAATAAGTATAGAGTTTAATGAGTCCCATAAAGAATATAAAAATAGATTTTACCATTGGCGATGTCACTATTAAAAAACTACTTTTTGTGACAATGATTACACTTTACATATAAAAAAATTGAGATATAATTCTTGGACGCGCCATATTTAAAAAATATATATAATTTATTATGTTTGTTTTTTTATGAAAATAGAGGGATAAATTAGTTTAATATACATGTTTCGAATTCCAAAAGCTTCGAATCCTAGTAGTTTTAGATTATGTTTTTATTTTATTAAAAATGGAGTCTTTCTGAATATTTATTTTTAATTTAAAAATAAGCCATTTTTCATCTCGGTTTTGTTTTCTAACCGAGGTGATTTTTTTTTGTCTAGTATATATAGCTTTACTATGTAGCATTCAGTTTCATTTTTCTATGCAACACAAAGAGAATCTCAACGAAGAGTCTTAAGAAAAGAGTCAACAAGAGAGCCATAAACAACGAAAGTCATAAACACATATCATCTTCAATACAAAGATGATATATGTTAAGACTCTCATTTAATCTTCAGAGATCTAAATCATTTTTTTCACTTCTTCTTCATATATCTGTTACATCAAAGTCCACTACTCATATTGTGGTTGTTTCTATTATCGTTGTTGTTATTGTTGAGGTCCAAAATCCTATAGGTTTTATTTTGTTGTTGTTTAAACATGTTTATGTTATAGATTTTATTTTGTTGTTGATGTTGATGTTGTTTAAACAAATTTATGTAATAGACTTTATCTTATTATTGATATTTTTGTAGTTGTTGTAGTTGAGACTCTAAAGTTTTAAATTGTTGATGTTATGGTTGTTGTTGAGACCCTAAAGGTTTTTAATTGTTGTTGTTGAGACTCGTTGTTGATGATGTTGTTGTTGATGTTGTTGTTAATGTTATTGTTGTTGTTGTTTAGTTGTTCTACTATCAAACGTTATGAAAATCTATATGTTGTAGTTTAGTTGTTGTTTGAGTTTTAGATTGTTCTTGATATTGAGTTTATGTTTTTTGTGCAGTTTTCATCTTGTTCTGTCGCGTTGAATTTATTATATCTAATGTCGATTATCTGTTTCACTAACCCCTCTTTGAACATATAACATATTAAATTGATTTTAGAAATAACCATATGAAAAATTATGTTGTATTAAAAATATATCTTACACTTGTTATTGATTTTTTATCTTTCTACAACTCATCATTTATCTCATGCTCTTTTATGGTTAAAATTTCTTCAATATTTTTAGATTTTGTTCAATTTTTTTCTATATTTGTTCATCTTTCAAAGTATCAAATTTTATATTTTCGAGAATGAATTAGTAGAAAATGAAGCACTAAATAAATAACTTGAAACATGGAAGAGATTTTAACTATGAAAGAATACGAGATGAATGATGAGTTACAAGATGCTTCAGAATCATTCATTAGTGTAAGTTGTTCTTCAAATATAACACAATTGTTCATATAATTATTTTTCTAACCATTTTTATCCGTTATATGTTCAGTTAGGGTTTAGTGAAATAAGTAATCCACATTAGATTTAATATACTCAATCATGTTTTATTCGTCGGTTTTGTTTCTAAACCGAAGTGAAAAATGTTATACTAGTCGATTGAAAGTCAAAATCGAAGAGAAAGGTGTTTTCGTCATTTCAGAATTTCAAAAAAGATCTCCATGGAGATCGATCACATGACCTTTACACCTTACTCTTTGGTTGTTTTAAAACCGAGGTAAGACCCCAAGACTTTTCATGACACACTTCATTATCTTGCCTAAGAAACTGAAGTAGTACATCTTTTTCAACCGAGGTAAAAAAATATTTTTCATTGTAGTGTGCTCTAAGAGTATTGAAATTTCACTCTTTAAAAATAAATATGTGGAAATTCACGATTTTAATTTCTTGTGGATTTAAACTGGCAAATTCATACTTCTGCAATCGGAGATAGATGTCTCAAGTTTTTTCTAATGTAATTTTTTTAAAATATTTTTTGTGTGAACCGTTCTTCTGTTCAATTGTATTTTTTAATAGTATAGTTTTTTGTATTTCTCATATGAATCGTTCTTCAGTTCAATTGTATTATGTTTGAGGTTTTTGTCCTTTATTATTAATAATTAGATGTTTTTACACATCTATTAATGCAGTTGGTTTAACAAAATAATTTACATTAAATTTTAATTGATATGTGTTACTCTCGATCAATTTATTTTTTAAAATTAGATATAAATAAGAGAAAAAACCAACATTAAAATAAATATTATTAGTTCTGATTGATAAAAATAGTGGTTGGTATAGAAGGTAATTGAATTTATGATTTATAATTGATAACTGATAACCGATAATTTATAATTTATAATTGATGACGGATGAAATAGTTGTTAAGTCAATTAAAAATATGGTAAAATTTGTGATTCAACTAACTAATAAATAACTTAATTGTTTTCTATTCTTTTTATTATGGTATAATTATTTTATTTTAAATTAAAATAAATTATAAAAGATAAAAGTGAATTTTAATTAAAATAATAAAAATAAAAATACAATTAAAAAATAAGATATAAGATAAAACGCTGTTTAAAATAGTATTTAGAAAATAAATTATAAAATAATAAATTAAACTATAAATTTGTAAAAATAAAGTTATTTCTGAAGAGATCTTTTTATTGTTATATAACTAAATTATAAATTATAAAATCAAAAATATGTCTCTCTACCAAATCCATATCCATGTGCTTTAGACTTTTCAATTTCTATTTTTTGAATTTTATATAAGATATTGATAATAACAAAAATTGTTTTCTTTAGATAATGTCTTAAAGTTTTAAATATACACTTGTGGTAAAAGTTCATTAACAAGATATTATCGTTATAATTTAACGTGAGTTTGAATTTTCTTAGATATAATTGTAAAATTATTATTACTATATATTTTTATAATTAAAAAAAAAAACTCATAACTTAAATGAATGATCAATTCTAATATGCTTGTTCTACTTATTTATTGTGGTTTGATAAATGGTTTCGTGTAAGCAACTATAACTAGAAATGGCAAAGGAAACAAAATCGTTTGATTTGGGATTTGTAATTGTTTATGTAGTGTCAAATCAGAACCAGAGACATTATTCTAAATCAGGTAAAATTGTTTTGATGATCCTTCTTTATGTTTCACTCTTTTTTACTAAACTTCGGTTTAGAATCGGTGGAAAAGATGAGAACCACTATGAGAAGCACATTTTGTCAAACACGTGTAAGCAACTATAACTAGAAATGTATCATATGACTAGTGCTATCATCGTATTATTGTGTAGACGTTTTTAATTCGGTTTTTTTATTTATAATTGTATATGGATTTCTATTAAATTATGTGGATTGTCTTTTGAACACGTAAGGTATTTTAATTTATAATTTTACCAGCCTTGAGTCAATTAGAGTCACAAATTTGAGTCTGAGTCATATGAAAAAGTGTGTGTCAATTTCTTATGCGATGATGTCACTTATATAACCGTCCTGATATGCTATCAAAGTTGTTGTTAGTTTGTTTGGTTCTGATCCGTTATGAATATTAATTGAAATTTTTTTTTAATAATTATATTTTTTATAAAAAAAATCTCAAATAATTATTTTTTAAATTTTTTTATCAAACTGATGATTTTTCAAATAAAAAAATTCGCCACACAGAGGAATAGCCACTTTGTGTGACGCATGCATGCATTTTAAAGAGGAGACGCCATACTGCATGGTTTGTCCTCCTCTGTAAACTCATGCAGTGTGGCTCATGCATGTATATGACAAAAACGGTCCGCTTTTGCCTCACCCCTTGTCTCACTCCTCTCTGTTGATTTTTATGATGTGCTTGGGGTCTGTTCTGACTCGCTTGATTATGAGGTGTTTGATGTGATGGTCCTGGTACACCAGGATCATATATCTCATCGATCATTTTGCTCCACTGTGTTGTGCTTCCAAAGAGATCGGTGCCCATGTTGTTGAAGTTTGGTCTTGTTGGTTGGGATATGTGTGGGTGAAACGGTTGATAGTATTGGAATGTTGAATCGTGATGGAAACGAAGCAACGGTTCTTGTGGTGTATGAAATATGTATGATGGTTGGGTACTTCAATGGTGTGATGTTTGACTGTATGTAGGTTGGATGGTATGGTAGAAAGGAGATGTATCATATGTGTCTTGGGTGTTATGGTAGGATAAGGATGGTGCATATTGTTAGTGTGGGTCAGGTCATGCTCTTGGTATTGTGTTTGTGTGTGTGGCATGAATTGATGACGGGTTTGGTTGAATGAGGTGGTGTATGGTTGTTAGGTTTGAGTGGGTTGATATTGTGGTTACGTTTGGTACTGTTGAGGGGTTGGTTGTTGGGTTTGGTATTGTTGAGGGGTTGGTTGTTGGGGTTATTGTTGGGCGTATGTTGCAGCTCTTTGGCGTGGGTCGATCAAATATGTCTCTTGAGACAGAAACAAATTTATTGAAATCGATGTGTACCATCTCAAATATTGGAGCG